GTCCCGCCCCCCGCTCCGGCCCCCGGCACCCTCGCGTACCCCCCGAGCAGCCCCGAGGCTCCCAGAGCATCCCTAAATCCGCCCGAGCGTGTCTGCATCCCATGAGAGCAGCCCTGAGCATTGCCATGTACCTATTACCCGGGAGCATCTTTGTACTACTCAGAGCATCCCTTCATTCCTCCAGGGCGTCTCTGAGGATCCACACATTCCCCTCTCAACCTGGTAGCATCCTTGCCTTACCCCGGAGCATCCCTGATCCCACCCAGAGCATCTTCTCCCATTTCCCTTCCCTTCTCAACCCTGGAACATCACTGCATTACCTCGAAGAATCCTTGCCACCCCCTAGAACATCTCTACATTCCTCTTTCCCCTCTCAACTCAGAAACATTCTTGTATTCTCCCAGAGCATCCTTGCATGCTGCACAGCAACATTCCTGCATCTCTCCAGTGTCCACCGTGAGTTTATTGCTCCAGCCGTGGTGTCTGTGCCTTAATGAACAGAACTGAGGTCAGAACTTCATTTGCCTTTTAATCAGCCAGGAGGGCTCCCTGAGCAGGTGGAACACAGAGGGTGATGATCCTGTCTCTGCTCCTCATGGGCAGCAGGAGAAGCAGCAAAGCTGCTGGGGTGCAGGCAATTCTTGGTCTGCAAACCAAGGAGTCCTTGGGCCCCCCATCCCCAGCTTCAAGAAGGTGATTAACTCTTCCTTCTTCCACCACTTGTTCACCCTTCACAGCTAAAGAGAATAACTTCTGTCTGGGGACTTGTTTCAGCTGGTGATTCTGCAGGATGAAGTTACCCCTGTACAACCCCTGTGCACGGTGCCTGCTCCAGGTGGCAGGAGAGGAAACGTCCCCACAGGCATTGTCACAGGGGCAGGATCGGTTCTGCTATCGCACCTCTGGAGAAGAGCACAGGGATGTGCAGAGCAAAACAGAGGAGGGTACAGACTGGAGACCCTGAGCAGGCACCCTTCTGTCTGGGGAATTCGAGAAACTGAGAGAACATAACAAGGCAAGAAAACTGTGCAAACCCAGAAACGAGCCTGTAGTTAAGGCCCAGGGGGTTTGCCACCTTCTGATTGCTCCAAAAGCTATTTTCACCTCAGGAACTACTACAGCCTCCCCGAATTCCTCCTCAAACCACAGCCGCTGTCCTGCCGGCCGCGGCTGCTCCTGCTGCGAGAGCTCTGCAATCGCTGAAAATCGCTTGCAGGCGGCAGTGAGAAGCGAGAACACTTCTCAGCCCTCCCGCAGGGTGTGGCCATTGTGGCACTCACTAAAGGATGCCCTCAGCAGGAGCCAGCCTCATCCTGTCCCTTACAGCGCCGGCACTGGGGCAGCGCGCTGGCTCCGCGCTCAGAGCCGGGCTCGCATCTCCCGGCTGTGCTCACAGCGAGCCGGCAGCTGCTGGCACGCGTGTCCCTCCTCGGGGACACCAGTGTCCCCAGGCCGGGCTCCCCGGGTGGCTGAGGCTCGGCTGCTGCCGCATCCCGACAGAGGATGTCACTGTGCGCCCGTGGAGCGCTGGGGATGCGCTGCCGGAGCTCCCGGCTTGGGGAGCTCGGTGTGTGCCCTGCCCGAGGGGGGTCAGACCGAACCACCCGCCCCCCGGGCCGGGATTGCACCCCAGCCCAGCTGAGAGGACGAGAATTTTATACCGATCACCACAGATGTGATGGGAGTTGGTGGGTTTTTTTTTTTTTTTTTTTTTTTTTTTTTGTTTTTGTTTTTTTTTTGGTTTTTTTTTTAATGTAATTTTTTTTGTTATTTAAAAATATTTATTTATTTATTTATTTTTCTTTTTTTTTTTTGACGCCCATAATGTTTAATGAACCCCCAAACCATTTTCACCGTGTGGCTGCTCGTGATCCGTTGTCTTTTGTACTCTCCAGCTACTCAGTCAAGCATTAGTGTTCATTATAATGTTTACAAATTCCAAATGATGGGGTGTGTGCTGTGCAGCTCCCATCCCTAGGAGCAGTTGGTTGTTTGTCAGCCATTACTCAGAATTTTCACCATTTGGATAGACAACAAACCCCCCACTCTGTACCTAAGACAATTTATAAAGTGATACAATACAATGTGGACAAATCACAGTTATTGTTTATCCAGAGTAAATTTCTAGGAATGTTAGATAAATAAGAGGTGATAGAGCTCAGACTACAGGTTTCCTGATCCTGATGTTTCTCTCTTGCTTCAGCAGACAGGACAGTGTATTTCTAATATATTTCAGGAAAGAAAATCACACAGCCTGTCGTTGAAGCACAGCACACTCAGACATGCAAGCAGATGGTGTGACAGCTCACGTCTGGACCTGGCTGACACAGCACACATGCCATGGGTAGGTACCCATGTGCTCACAGGTGCTTACGTAAGTTCACATAGGGTGTTCTGATCACCCTGCATCAGGCCATGGGCAGGGAGATCTCCTGAGCACTGCTCAGTCCCTGTGGATCTGCACAGTGGAGCCTTTCTGGATGCTCTGGGCTGCAGCTCAGCTCCAAGCTCTCCTGAGCCTCATTCCTGCTTGTTCTGAGGTTGTTCCTGAGCAGCAGGAGCTGGGGGTGGCAGATCACAGGATGGTTCAGGCTGGAAGAGACTCCTTGAGATTTTCTAGGCCAGCTCCTCTGCTGAAGCAGGGTCAGATACAGCAGGTTGCCCAGGGCTTTGTCTGGTTGGGGTTTGAATATCTCCAGGAATGAAGACTCCAAAACCTCTCCAGACAACCTGTTCCAGCTGCCCTCCAGACAGCCCTCACAGTCAAAAAGTCTTCTCTTGTCTGCACCATCTTGCCCACAGATAGCTCTCTATAAACCTAGGACTAGCAGGATATGCACAAGTTGTAGTTTTTCCATTGCTTACTTCTGTCCCATGGAGCCAGTTTGTCTCTGAAACAAACTTTAAAGAAATAGATTATTAAGAAATCTCTTTGTGTTCGTGTCTTTACTGATGAGGGTTGAAAGTCCTCTGGCATTCACACAAGTATCTGTCACTATGAAACCTTTGTTTTATTTCCTTTTCTTCTGCCTTTCAGTGGGACATGTTTATTCTGTTTGGAAAATTCCCTTTTTTGAGATCCCCTCACAAGTTACCAGCACACATGGGTGAAGAGAAGGGCAGTGTGGCAGAGAAAAGAGATTCCAGATTGGCTGAAGGCAGAATCTTCAAGGAGTCCTTCAGCTCCTGCTTTGCCAGACCCCCAAGATACAGCACAAACCCTCAGTATAAATATTTCACATGTAACACCAATGAGTAGGACACAGAAAATGCCAGAGGAACATTTCTCATGCTGGAGATGCCTTTGCAGTGAAATGCCACTCTTAATGCCACATTTCTCTTAAAAACAAACCCAACAACAACTTGTCTGTCAAAGCTTGGGGAGCTATTAGGACTGAAAACCAGCGTGGCAATCCAGACCTGGCTGGGACACGATGAAATCAGTCAGTGGATGTGCTTCATCCAGCTCAGACAGGTGTCAAAACAGCTTCTGCTGCTGCTGGCAGGAGGTCTCTTCCTTACCATTCTGCAAGGGACAAAACTGAGTGAGTTTGATGTCAAACAAAGACAATGATGACCAGAATAATCCTTGAAAATGTTAGCAAATAACTGTGAGCCAGCTTTCAGAAAGGTGGGAGGAGCTGACATCTCCACTCCCAAAGCAAAAAGTGCTGAGAGCTGCAAATGGCACAAAGCCACCGTGTCCCTGAGAAGGATCACAGATTCTGAGGGGAATTGTCCCATCTGGGCACAGTGTGTGTTCATCTGCACTCAAAACATGTCCTGTACCTTTTCACTTCTTTATTTTCCTTCCTTCTTTCCTCTCCTTCCTTTGCTCTTTCTCTCCATTCCCAGCTGTGACCTGCAAATCCAAACTCCCAAAGAGTTAAAAAATGCATCCTTTACTACAGGGAGACTTTCCATAGTTGGACCTGTCTCAAACTGCCATGACTGCTTTTGGCTACTTGGGAACGAGCTCCTTAAAATTACAAATCACCTTGTCACCACAAAAAGTCACATTTCTATCCTTGTTCAATCCAGCAGCACTTTTGTGAGCAGGGAAATGCTGAGTTTAACGACTCTGGGGGAGGAAAACAATGCAGAGCAGGATGAGTAATGCCATTAGTAATGAAGTAACTGTCTGATCAGAGTTAACACCTGACTCTTGTCAAGGCCAGTTCAGTGTTGCATTTCAAAATGAGAATTTCAGAGCACAGTGGGGAATGAAACCAGAAGTCATCCTACATCTGCCAGCCTGGACTGAGCTGGCATCTGCTGCTCAGACCGATAGATGTTTGCAGAGAGAGACAGCAGGGTCTGAATATGAAGATGTGAAATCCGTGTGCAGCTGCTACCAACCATGCTGGAAGCATTTTGCCACATGGAGGAGTGAATGTTAAAGCTCTGTTGAAAAGGTATCCATTAAATTTGGTACTCCATCAGGCAGTGGTTTAAGAGGCAAGGCTGGCCTATGTTTCTAATACTCTTAATGGCAGCAAGCAGTGTGGGTTAGAAGCGACAAAAAGAAATTTGGGAAGGACTAAAACATTGCTAATCAAAGCTGGTTCTGTTCCCAGGCAGGTGGAAAACAGAGCAGCTGTAGAGAAATGAGCTGGGTTTCTCTGGGCTGTGGTGCAAGCTGTGGCACAGTGGGCTCCTCTGCACCCCATCAGACTTGATAAAACTTCGGGTCACTAAGCAATGAGAGAGGGAGGGTTTAAGCCCATTTGTGGAGTCCATGGGTATCTCCAGAGCTACCACCAGGTTCTCATGTGAGGAGAACTACAAATGTCAGCTGGCTCGCTTCCTGCAGGAACTCATTGGTAACCTCATGTAATATTTAACACACTTCCCAGGCTAATTAAGTATATTACTTTATATAGTAACTAACATATCTCTAATATGTATCAAAATTTAATTCAGTTTAATTTATTATCGCTGCTCAACGTGGGCCCAGGTCTCTT